CTCCGTTTTTTTTAATAGCGATTAAATGCAGTGTATATTTTAATGCTACAAAATACTTATTTTTAGAATGCAGGATGCAAATTTTTAACAAAAAAAAAAAAAGAAATTTATTTTAAGTGTATATATAGAATTTTATTTTACAAGTATATACATTCATATATTTACTGAATGAAAGGTGGATGTGTTAATCACTTTCGAGAATATCGAGAAGCGAGAAATATGCTTAAAAAGAAAATGTTTTAAATGAAATAATTTTTTTCAACTTTATAATTGTTTTATTAGCATATATGGCTTTAAATGAAATAATAATATATATATAAAAAAAAAAAAAAAACATTAATATTTTGTAAGAAACGCAAAATTGTGTACATTGATGAACGAATAGTCAATGAGTTAGATTACATTTTGTTTTAAGTGACTTCCTGTAAATATTTTGAAATGTATATTATAAAAAAATGTTGTAAATTTAATTTGAAAAGGCATTAATTTAAGTGAATGAAATCATGTTCTCATAGTATGCGATGTATGCATTACCCTTTGTGATGATTGTAAACAATAAGCTACAATTGCAAATCGACCTTTGTTCTGCAGCTGTAATATATGTTATCATTTAGATTCGTGAATGTGCAATATTTTGGACTTTGACCTAAAGTTCGTTTTTTCATCAAATACATTACCGAAGTAATTAGCGCAATCTATGTTTCAACCACGAAACTTTTGCAAATTGATACGTTAGTTGTCAGAAGCAGGCATAAGCAGTTTTATTTGGCTTCTGAAGCTAATATAACTACGTAACTTTCAAAGGTCAACTAAATTTGCTTGTTTGTTTATAGAATCAAACCACAGAATTTAAACTGTTAAACACTGTTAAAATGTAGAGTAAATGATTGTAAACAATATATTTTATAATCCTAGATAAAAATAACTAACTATTCATGATTATAAACTAATTGCAGTAAAAAATAAATATCTGTAGTAAATAAATAGAAATGGAATAAAAGGATAATACAAATATAACATTAGTAATAACAGTATCAACATAAATTGATGGTATAAAAGTTTACATTTGAATATGCAAACAATAGATGAAAATCTGAAACAAACTGATACGTAAAATTGACTAACATAACTTTTTATATATGTTGATTACAAAGCATTTTAGATGATTTTTTAAAAATTTTTTTCAATCATTTACTCTACATTTTAACAGTGTTTAACGAAATGTTCTTACATTCATATTATTTAAGCATTTTAATAATATTTTCAAATAAAATTGATAAAGACAACTATTGTATAATACATTTATAACAGAAATAATTTTCTCATCATTATAAACACATGTGGAGATAGTTTCTTATCGAAAAATTTCTCTCTGCGATTTAGTTAAAAATTATAATGTATTGAATGCATAAAATACGCTAATTTTTTATTTCTTAACGATTTATACATATACATTTTTTTTTAATTTTAAATATTTAATATAATTTAACGATTAAAAGGACAGATTATTTTAAATTATCAATTATTATTTGATACTACAATTTGATTCTTTTCTTTCAAACAAAAGCTACAATTAAAATATTTCTTTCTATTTTTTCAATAATTATTTTATACATTTTTATAGTAAATTTTTAATACGCAATAGAATATTTGTTTAAAAATATAATAAATAAAAAATTCATTATAAATCATATATTAATATATTAGAAACATGTTATCTCAGATTAAATTTTTTTTTGTTAGAAAAAATTTTTTATCATATTTGTACTTAAAATTACCAAGTGATTTCTTCAATAATTTTTAAAACATTGTATTCATTTAATTGAATCATTGATTTTGTAATTTAAATTAATTTATAGATATATTGGTTTTTAAAATTAATTAACAATTATTATTATTATCTGTCTCATAGAATAATTAATTAAATTTTTTCTTAAAAATCTTAATTAATAAACATTTAATTATGAATACGAAAATTGCAAAAAATTTTTATTACTATTCATATATACAAATGATTTTTGTATAATAATACTGTGAATATAATATCGTGGATTGTTGGTAATTTAAAAGAAGTAATACCTAAAAATTATATGTGAGAAAAGTTTAAATAATTTGTATAATACATCTGGAAGTAATTTGAAAGAAAAATCTCTGATTAATATATTATGCTGTGATCCGTGCTTATTATTCAATTTTAATTTAAAACATTATTAAATTTAAAAATTATATTTTCAAATTACAAAATTTATATAAAGGTAATTTAAGTAATATTTGTATAGGAGTAAAAATCAAAACTTATAATGAAATGAGATAATATTACAGAAGCTATAAACGAAATTAAAACGAAGGTTAAATTGCTCACTTGGATATTTTATATTTTAAATTGACTATTATGTAAATATCTCTTGCTTGACAAGACGTTCGATTCAGGAACTACATTTAGAATTCAACTTCTTTAATTTAAAACACTTCAATTTAGATAAGTGAAGTATGAGATAAAATTTATAAAATTTAAGAATTTTTTAACACTTAAAATTGTTACTCTTATAGTGAAAAAAATAATAGACATAATCGATGTTGTATTAACTCATTTTTCTGAATATTTAAATGGTATATAAAAAATCACATGAATTACCAATGAATATATATATCTCGAAATATATTGTATTGGAAACATTATGATTAAATAAATTTATATTTTAGGATTATTCATATTGTAATCATATGTCTTGGAAAAAAATAAACATACGACGTTCAAGATTAATACTTATTCAATTTATTTCATTGCTTCGAATCAAACTTTTACTTTTCAAATTCTAGTATATATAGTATTATATTTTTATAAAAACTTGAACACCTTTTAAAGCGTTTCTTTTATGAAAAATAAAAAAAAAATATTAGTATGAACTTGACCTTTTCTTGCAAGAAGCAATTATTTCCAGTTAGTTAATAAATGTATTAAAATTTAATACTCGACTATTTGACATAATGTAAACCACAATTTATTTAATTGAACTGTATTTCATTATAAGAATTTTGTAGTAAAATTATCAATTTTTTTTTTTTTTTGTAAGTTTTTTCTTAAAAAAGTTCATAGTAATTTAAGGAAAGTAAAATTTTTTGTAAAGCGAAAGGTAAATGATACAAGTAGATATATAATTATTTTCCAGAAGTAAGTTTTTTTTTTTTTTTTTTTTTTTAAATAATAATGTATGCGGTTGATTTTTCCAATATGCGCAAAAATACCCATATTTTTAACATATTTTTACCAGGTCAAAGACTATACGATAATACAAATATATATATATATTAACATGCATGTAAATCTTATTCAGGGGTAACTGCATTTATAAAGGTGCAAATGCACATGTATATATGCTACACGGCAGGTGTCAAGTTCATTTCTCTTCTCTCTCTCTCTCTCTCTCTCTTTCTAGGCCCATGCGCGAGCGCGCACACACGCGCTTACAAAATACAATCAGTGTGCACAACTGGAGGCAAGAAATTTTTGTGTGACCTTGAAATAGCTTAATTATTTGTGCTAATCACAAGTAGTGTCATGCGAATATTTATCGAATACAAAAAACTATATTAGAGTTAACCAGCGATATAAATTAACTTTAATTACAGTTAAAGACATTTTTTATATTTAATTTATAAATTCGAAGAACAAGCGAATTTTGCGTGAATTTTTATTATATATTTATTTATAAAGAAAATTATTCTATATATTCATTGATTAAAATTATGCTCATTACTTTCGAAAAAATATAGTTGAAATATTTTCGATATTTTAGTTGAATGTATATATCGAACAATTATTGAATTACAGTTTATAAAAATGTTTTTTATACTTCAAATTACTTTTTGTAAAGATTTTTCTTAAGGAATGTATTAAAAATATAAAATATTTCTTGTCGAAAAAATATAAAAATTGTCTTGCCTTTCCAGATATAAATGATCTTTATTATTAGATCAATAAATTAATTTAAGTATAAATATGAAGTGACGAAGTCATAATATCACACTAAAATCTTAATAAAATATTGTTTTATTTAATTTTTGGTTACACACAGAAATGGATATTAAATTCTGCAAAACTTTAAAAATCTTGAGTGTTAATGGAATTATATTTTTCTTAAATTATTACTTTTTAGTCAGTTATAACGTTTTACTTTATATGTTGCCAACTTAATCGATTAAAATAATATATAATTTAATTTACTTATTCCGAAAATTGAAATTCATATCATAATAAAAATGTTATCTATTTTATATTTACAATATATTAGATTAAAGGTGATAATTTTTTTTTAAAAAAAAAAACTGTAAAGGTTATAGATAATTGAATAAACTCTGAATATTTTTAACTACAATATTTGAATGTTAACAATGTGTTTTAGAAGGCATATTTAATAACTGATTTTCTTAGCTTTGTAAAATAGACTAATACTTACATCTTTAGGATACCGATAAACTTGGTCAATTGTAATTGTGGAATTAATTAAATATCTATGTTATGATAGCCTGAGGATGAAAATAGATTATTATGAAATGTAATTTCCATATATTTGCATAAAATAATGATCATTGGATATGAAGATATGCAATATATGTACAGCTATTGACATCTTTTGGTTGCAATAGTAATATTTGATGACGTAAAGGCTGTTAGTTGTTGATTGTTGGCATTGTTGCCAATTTTAAGATGTTGAGAGTCGGGTTATGGTGGACTAGGGACACGTAAACATAACCTCTATATTAAAAATGGGGTTGAAGGAGAGAAGACGACGGCATAGGAGTTCATCATCAGAAAGCATTGTTATCAAAAGTAAAAGAAAACGCGATAAGGAAGATTATAGCGACGAAGATCAAGAAAATAAAAATGAAAAACGGTATGTATTTTAGTGATAAAAAGAAAGTATGCGTATACTTTTAAAGGTTATTGAAGCATCAATTTTGGTTGTTTTATAATAATTCTTTTATTTAATTCAGATATAGGTATAAAGTATCAGGAAAAGATAGAGACGATGATGATAGGTACAAAGTCAAATCTAAAGAAACTCTTAGGAGTAAAGATAGACTTAGTGTATCCAATCGTGAACATGGCAGAAGCAAAGATCGGCATCAGGTAATAAGTGCCATGAGGGCCACGAGTAGAGGAAGAAAATTATCAGAGTCTGAAGAAGAGAGAGAAAAAAGTGAGAATAGTGATTCAAGTACTGATAAAAGCAGTGAAAGTAGTAGTAGTAGCAGTAGCAGTAGCAGTAGCAGTAGCACAAGCACAAGTAGCGACGATAGTACTGAAGATAGCGAAGATTCGGATACATCTACGGAAGAAACAGATGGAAGTAACAAAGAAAAATTGCAGAATAAAAAGGGGTACAAAAATAAGAATCAAGAGACTTCTTCAGAAGACGAAGAAACAAGTAATAACAGTAGTAGTTCAAGCGACGAGGAAATTATAAAAAAGAGTATTGAGTATAGGGAAAATTTATACAAAAGTGAAAGCAGATCTAGGGAAGAAAGAAATAAAAATAGAGAATCTGAGAGATTTTGTGAGAAAAAAAGTAAAAATATAACCAAATCTAGTGAGCAGCATGAAATAAATAGATACAGCGAGTTTCTTGAAGAGAAAGATAAAGGTAAAGATAGAAAAAAAGAGCAAGAGAAACTTCGAGAAAGAAGAGACAAAAGTCAAGATAGAATAAGATCTAGAGAAGAACGATATAAAACTCAAGATCGTAATAAAAGATCTGAACTAAGAGATAGAAGTCGAGATCGAAGTAGACACAGAGATGGAGATAGAAATCGAGATCGTGATAGATATAGGGATTATAGAGAGAGAAGTCAAGATTATGCTCGATCTAAAGAAGAAAGGCATAGAAGTCGTGAACCAGATAAGTCTCGAAAAGATAGGAATAGAAGCAGAGATCGTAATAAGTTTTCGGATAGAGAAAAAAGTCGAGACCGTAACAAAGCTCAAGTAGATCGAGTTAGAAGCCGAGATCATAATAAAATTCAAGAAGATAGAGGTAGAAGTAGAGATCGCAATAAAATTCAAGAAGATAGAGGTAGAAGTCGAGATCGTAATAAAATTCAAGAAGATAGAGGTAGAAGTAAAGATCGTAATAAAGTTCAAAAAGATAGAGATAGAAGTCGAGATCGTGTTAAATGTAAGCAGGAAAGAGATAAAAGTGGAGATAGTACCAGACCTCGAGAAGATAAAGATAGAAACCAAGGTTGTATCAAAACTAAGGAAGAGAAAGATGAGAGATCTTTGGAAGATACAGATGGAAGTAACAATTGTACTATATCTAAAGAAGATTCAGAAAAAACCGAAGATCCTAGCAATCTTCATGAAGATATAGAAAGCAATCAAAATTGTACAAAATTGAAGCATAATAATACATCTCAAGAAGATCGATATAAAAGTCAGGAGCTTGTTGGATCTACAAAAGCAAAAGAAAGATGTCTAGATTACAAAGAGTCTTCAGAAGATGATATTGTATCTACAAAAAGAACTGATGCAAGTGAAATTCATGAGACAATACATGAAGATGGAGATAAAGGTCAAGATAGTTTTAAATCTAAAAAAGAATTAGACGTAAGCCAAAATTTACAGAAAGCTGTAGATGATAAAAATAGAAGTGAAATCAGAATCGAATCTAAAGAAGAAAAAAACGTAAGTCAAGATTATGATAAAATTCAAGAAGAGGGAGAAAAAGATAGAGGTCAAGATCTTATTAGGCTTGAAGAACAAAAGGATATAATTGAAGAATATGACAGCAGTCAAGAGGATACAGACAGTAGCCATGATAGCATTATAATAAAAGAAGAAAAAGATAAAAACCAAGATTGTGATAAACGTCAAGGAAAGCAAAACAAAAATAGAGATCAGGAAAATGGAGTTAAAAGTCAAGAGTATGATAAATCACGAGAGGAAAGAGATGTGTATAGAGAAAGGGATAGAAATAAAAATATAGATAGAAGTCGGGAAAGGAACAGAAACAAAGATAAACATAAAGAAGGTGATAGTAGAGAAATAAGCAGAGAAAGGGAGAGAAGTAGTGAAAGGGAAAAAAGCAACGAAAGAGGAAGAAGCAGAGACAGGGAAAGAAGTAGAGAAAGAGAAAATAGAGAAAAGGAAAAGAATAGAGAGAGAGAAAATAGAGAAATGGAAAGAAGTAAAGAAAGAGGAAGAAGCAGAGAAAGGGAAAAAAGCAGAGAAAGAGATAGAAGCAGAGAAAGGGAAGAAAGTAGAGATAGAGAAAGAAGCAGAGAAAGGGAAAGAAGCAGAGATAGAGAAAGAAGCAGAGAAAGGGAGAAAAGCAGAGAAAGAGAAAGAAGCAGAGATAGACGTAAGGAAAATGATGATAGAGATGGAAACAAGGAAGATGGTAACAAAGAAATAGGCAGAAGTAGAGATAGACGTAAGGAAAATGAAGATAAGGAAAGAGACAGGAGCAGAGATAAGTGTAAGGAAAATGAGAATAGAGAAAGAGAGAGAAGCAGAGATAGACGCAAGGAAAATGATGATAGAGAAAGAGACAGAAGCAGAGATAGAAAGAAGGAAGATGAGAATAGAGAAAGAGGCAGAAGTAAAGATAGAAATAAGGATGACGGGGATAGAGAAAGGCACAGAAGCAGAGATAGAAGGAAGGAAGATGAGAATAGAGAAAGAGGCAGAAGTAAAGATAGAAATAAGGATGACGGGGATAGAGAAAGGCACAGAAGCAGAGATAGAAGGAAGGAAGATGAGAATAGAGAAAGAGGCAGAAGTAAAGATAGAAATAAGGATGACGGGGATAGAGAAAGGCACAGAAGCAGAGATAGAAGGAAGGAAGATGAGAATAGAGAAAGAGGCAGAAGTAAAGATAGAAATAAGGATGACGGGGATAGAGAAAGGCACAGAAGCAGAGATAGAAGGAAGGAAGATGAGAATAGAGAAAGAGGCAGAAGTAAAGATAGAAATAAGGATGACGGGGATAGAGAAAGGCACAGAAGCAGAGATAGAAGGAAGGAAGATGAGAATAGAGAAAGAGGCAGAAGTAAAGATAGAAATAAGGATGACGGGGATAGAGAAAGGCACAGAAGCAGAGATAGAAGGAAGGAAGATGAGAATAGAGAAAGAGGCAGAAGTAAAGATAGAAATAAGGATGACGGGGATAGAGAAAGGCACAGAAGCAGAGATAGAAGGAAGGAAGATGAGAATAGAGAAAGAGGCAGAAGTAAAGATAGAAATAAGGATGACGGGGATAGAGAAAGGCACAGAAGCAGAGATAGACATAAGGAGGATGAAGATAGAGAGAGGGACAGAAGCAGAGATAGAATCAAGGAAGATGGGAACAGAGAAAGAGGCAGAAGTAGAGATAGAAATAAGGATGATGAGGATAGAGATAGAAGAAGAGATAGAAGCAGAGATTGTATTAGAGGTACAAATAGAGAAAAATATAGAAACAAAGATAGAAACAGAGATAGAGAAAATGGGGACAGATATAGAGATAGAGATAACGGTGATAGATATAGAGACAGGGAAAACGAAGATAGATATAACGAGAGAGACAATGGAGATAGATACAGAGATAGGGAAAATGGAGGTAGATATAGAGGTAAGGACAATGGAATTAGATACAAAGATAGAGAAGACGAGGATAGATACAGAGAAAGGGAACGAAGCGAAGAAAGATATGGAGAAATTAGTCAAAATTCCTACTACGGCACGGAGTTGAAAATTAATCATTACGGTTCTGAAAGATATGATCATCCAAATTTTAGGAGGGAGCAAGGAAAAAATGTTGAAAGAAGAAATGGAGAAGAAAATGACTCTAGTGACGTTATTACTCCAAAACAAAAGAAAACAGTAGATTTACTTACTTCAAAGACCGGAGGAGCATATATTCCACCTGCTAAGCTACGTATGATGCAAGGAGAAATAACTGATAAAAGCGGAGCTGCATATCAACGTATTGCTTGGGAAGCTTTAAAAAAATCTATTCATGGTTATATTAATAAAGTGAATACAAGTAATATTGCTCTAATTACAAGAGATTTATTAAAGGAAAATATTGTCAGAGGTAGAGGACTTTTAGTGCGTTCAATAATTCAAGCACAGTCCGCATCTTTAACATTCACATCAGTCTATGCAGCATTAGTATCCGTGATTAATTCTAAAGTACGTAAAGAGAAAACATTTCCAATGCTGAATTAAATAAATAATACTACATAAACTCGCGTATTGTCATAATACATAATTCCTTATATTATTATATTATATTTTTATCATATTTTTTAAATTACATTTTAGTTTCCAAATATTGGCGAGTTATTATTAAAACGTTTAGCAATACAATTTAAGCGTGGCTTTCGTAGAAATGACAAGATACTTTGTATATCATCTACAACATTCATAGCCCATTTGGTTAATCAAGGGATCGCACATGAAATTTTAATGTTAGAAATATTGACATTATTAGTGCAGACACCAACCGATGATTCCATCGAAGTAGCCATAGCAATTTTGAAAGAATGCGGCATGAAACTAACTCAAGTATCTCGCAAAGGTATCGAAGCGATCTTTGAAATGTTGAGAAACATTCTTCACGAAGGACAATTAGATAAAAGGGTAAGAAATCATAGGTAGTTAAAGCTTTTGTAAAAAATGAAAATTGATTTTATGGATTATATAATATTGTATTTATGTAGGTTCAATATATGATTGAAGTTATGTTTCAAATTCGTAAAGATGGCTTTAAAGATTATGAATCCGTTACTAAAGAACTCGATCTTGTAGAAGAAGAAGATCAATTAACACATTTGGTTACACTAGATGAAGCAACCGATGGACAAGATATACTCAGTAAGTTTTAACTAGAAAATTAAATAATTAGATAATAAAATCCGAGATAATTTTTGCTTTAATAATAATGCTCTAATATATTTATTATTCCCAATAAATATGCTGTCTCATTACTAATTCCTGCGTTAATCATTTTAGATGTGTACAAGTTCGACGCAGAATACATTGTTAATGAAGATAAATATAAAGAATTAAGTAAAGAGATACTTAATACAGACGACAGTGATTCAGATAACGAAGTGGATAGTGCAGATGAAGATAAAGATGAAGATTCTGATGAAAATAGTGATTCTGAAGAAGTAAAAGATGGCGGACTCATAGTAGATAATACGGAAACAAATTTGACGGCTCTTAGGAGGACAATTTATTTGACAATACATTCTTCGCTTGATTTCGAGGAATGCGCTCATAAACTTATGAAAATGCAGCTAAAGCCTGGTCAGGAAATCGAATTGTGTCATATGTTTTTGGATTGTTGCGCAGAAATGAGAACGTATGAAAAATTTTTTGGATTATTAGCAGGGGTGAGTGAAAAATAATCGCCTTATAAGATTCACCGTATGATTATATAATATTTAATTATTTAATTATTTGTTTTTAGCGATTTTGCGCAATTAATAAAACATTTGTAGAACCATTCGAACAAATTTTTAAAGACTCTTATGATACAATTCATCGACTTGACACAAATAGATTGCGTAATGTTAGTAAATTTTTTGCTCATCTTTTAATGACGGATTCAATTTCTTGGGTTGTATTATCAAATATCAAATTGAACGAAGAGGATACAACTAGCTCTAGCAGAGTGTTTATTAAAATACTTTTTCAAGAATTGTCAGAGTATATGGGATTACCAAAGTTGAACGAAAAGCTGAAAGACGAGTATGTTGTAAAATAATTAATTATATTGAAAAGCATTGAACAATTTATTTAACGAATGTTGTAAATGTTAATTTATTGTTATTCAACAGAGAGTTGCAGGAAGCATTTGCAGGATTATTCCCAAAAGATGACCCAAAAAATACGCGATTTGCTATAAACTTTTTCACATCAATAGGTCTCGGAGGTCTCACGTAAGTCTTTTCAATTTACCTATTATCATTTAATATGCTTTACATTTAAAAATTAATAATTAATTTTTAATTAAAAGAATAATCTTGCATTATTATTATTATTTTTTTATAAGTGATGATTTACGAGAACACCTGAAGTCTCGACCAAAAGCTGTAGCAGAGTCTGCAGTTGAAGTAAAACCAGAGGAATCTTCCAGTTCGGAAAGTTCTTCGAGCAGTTCCAGTTCAACGTCATCATCGACATCATCATCATCTTCATCGTCGACATCATCCGATTCGGGTAAATTATTTTATTTTTATTTGTTATCTTGTTGTGCTACTTTTGATGAAGTATTACAAAATATCTTAATACGCGTTTGCAGATTCTTCAGAGAATGTTAAGAAGAGAAAAAAGAAAGTCAAAGAATGTAAGAAGAAAAAGATTGTTAAACATCGCGAAGATAAGGAAAATATAAATAAAAAAGATAAAAATAAGAAGCCATTGACAGTTAAAAAACATGATAATAAACAGAAGAAGAAGAAAAAGAAATAGCGTAATTAAGTATCAATATTTAACAGATTAATTTACGAAAATATTGTAAATTATAATTTTTTTAAGGCGAAGAATAAAATATCGGAGTGTATATTATTTTAAAAATTTTTATTTATTTAAAATTGTACCTGTTTTACTCAATTATGTAATTGCAACAAATATAAAATATATGTATATATTTTTTAAGAATCTTGAAACCAAGTCTTTATCTAATATAAAGGGCTGTTTTTTGTTTTTGTTTTTTTTTTGTTTTGTTTTTGTTTGTTTTTTGTTTTTTTTAAATAGTTGTAAAAGATGGCGCTACGGATTCCGTTGTTGCTATGACTCCCCCAATTGTTGAATTTGAGGGAAATAACAGTTTGATCTGTTAGTACTTTTTAGGTGATAATATAATACTATTTTTAACATTACCATTGTTTCAAATAGGAAATAAAGTGATGGAAGGATTTACTTATCAACAGATTAAAGATCTTCAGCAGTTAATCACCTGCCCTAAAGATTCAGATTCAGATTCGGATAGCGAAGATCTGAAGCAACGTTTATCACGTCAAAAAATCAGTACTAAATAATTTATAAGTGTATTTGCAAAATATATTGTTAAAGCTTTCATTGTACATTCATTTTGCATTAAATTTGATTGAAATTACCTGCAATCTTTGTTATATTATAATAGTAAATACTATTTTATCGCAAATTGATCAAATATTTCTTCTACTGAAATTTTTACGCTAAATCTAACACGCAAAATCTAATTTACTTTTATGTTATTGTTTATTGGTATTTATAATTTTTTGTTTCTTTTTTCATTAATTTTACCATTAACGATTAAGATACATTTATTTATAATGCAAAATATATTTTACTTATTTATAGCGAAACAATTATACTATTAATAATAGATTTTAAATGCAAATTCCAAATCTAGTTAATAATTATGGAGAAACATAAAAATTTCGTAATATTAAAGTCGTACACACGAATCAGTTAAAGTAATATTATTTCGGTACACAAGAAATAATTGCAATTTGCGCAATGCAACATATTTGTATATGCTGTACTACATTTTTTGCAAATTCTATACGTGTACAGCATAGAATTATAATAGGTAATGTTTTAGGCCCTGGAGACATTGGTAAGCCAAGCACAACAATAACTAATGCGACTGCCGATGAAGCTCAGCAAAATACAAAAGATTCCAATATATGGCATCCGTTGGAAGTAAATGTCGGAAAGAATATTCAGGACAAGGATCCACGAATAGTTCCTAAATATGAGATGAAATTTAAACAAACCGTTGGCACGGAAGATATTTTTCTTGGAGTAAGAGCATACAGAATGCAAATAGCTTGTGCATAATTTACGACAAACTTTTCATCAATTTCTTGTCATTGGAAAAGCAATAGAAGCAAAGAATTAACATTGACTTTATAAAATTTTACAAACAATTTAAAGTCCTTATATTTATATGATTTAGAAGCGTTTGATTATTAATAGTATTCGATAGTTTGGTCGGATGATGCATTTAAAGTCATTTATTTTTACATTACAAAGTTTGCAGCGTCAATCACGCAAGTCAAATTCTGAAGAGGAATTTCATTTCATGATAAAGTCTTCATTTATTCGCTGCAAATATATTTTTAATTATATTAAATGAATTCATCAGAATAATGTTGAATAAACGGTAGTGAATTTCGATTTTATTTAACGATTAAAAGCTTATTTTCTATTCTATCAAATAAAGGGCATTTAAATTTATTCCCAGTATATCCAATAATATATAAATAATTATTAATTTTGCGTTTTTGGCGTAATTAATAAATTAATCATGAATTTATTTCAATTAATTTTCAAATAAATTTAAATACTTTTTACAAAGTGCTTACAAAACAAAAAATATGAATATGCATTACGATACATACATACATACATGCATACATACGCGCATGCGCACATATTTACACATATATATATATATATATATATATATATATATGCGTGTGTGTGTGTGCGCATGTGTGTGGAAAATTTTACATTACAAAAAATTGGTTGAAATTGGTCATTACAAATATTAATTTTTCCAATATATTACGATCTTTTTATATTTAGATCATGTGTGTGGAAAATTTTACATTACAAAAAATTGGTTGAAATTGGTCATTACAAATATTAATTTTTCCAATATATTACGATCTTTTTATATTTAGATATAGAGATTCCGACAACATAGAGAGACTCCAATGAAATATAAAATAAATAATGGTTATTAAAATCAAAATATTAATAATATATTTTAATAGAATTGAAATGATTTGTTTATAAAATCACGATATTGTCAAAGAGGCGAAACAAAACTTAGTCTTATATAAATATTATATATATATATGTGTTTTTTTTTTTTTTTTGTTTCGAGTGTAAAAAATCTCAAAAATTTACGGAGACATCGCAGTGCTTCGATTCACAGACCTAAGCATATAATTTCATTGCTAAGACAAAAGAAAATGAAATAATATCACTGTACTGATTTTTGACCCCTTCCTGACATTCCTAATCAATACTATCTAATTTCACTCCTTTGGCGCATACATTATAGATGAATCTAAAAACACCGGCAACCGCTTCTTGCAAGTGGTTAACGATACTGGTTACGCTACCCTCGGAAAAAATGGAAAAAATCGAGTTATCCGTAGAATATGACGTCATCGATATACGCAGCCCCAAGTGAGTATATGTAGACGCGTCTTACGAATCGTTGTATTTGGCTCATTCAATTGACGTGCATGGCTTGCTGACTGTAGTCCTTTCTCCTTTTGTTCATTTTTTTTTCTTTTTTCTCTTCTTCTTTTGGTTTTCTGGTTCAACTTTTTTGGTTGGTATTCCACTTTTTGCGATAAGCCGTCACGAAAGTCACGGAGTCACCTCCACACATTATGATTATTTAAACAAGTAATTTACCTATTCTATGAAGTGGAAGTTAAAAATACGACTTTTATGTTAAAGAAGGCTTACGAGGCGATGTTATTTTTCTTTCGAGCTACGCTAATTACTCAATTATAAGATGCATGTGTATGTATTTTTTCTTTTCACTCGACGGCTTTTAATGTTAAAACATGGAATAACTTTTTTACCTCGGAAATGTCGTTAGTTTAGTGTTTAATATAGGATAAGTAAGTTTGTAGTTACTAGATAGTCATAGTCTATAATCGTGTTTAGTTAGACATTCAGATATTGCACATAAGAACAAAGAATAGTAATTTTAATCGTTATGATCGAAAGCTGTATTCTGTTATTTAGTAATAATATGAAGTAAGAAAGATAGGACGATGTAGCTTTGTCAAAAGAAATTATCGCTAATTAATAATACATAAAATAATCGATTACAAAGAAAAAATAAAGTAATTTTTAATATAATCACTGAATAATAATTTATGAATGGTATGTAGTTGAGATTTTTTTCTTATTAGTTATCGATATAAATGTCCAATTAAATATCTTATTATAATTAAAATCGCGTTATTCTTACGATATCATTACTTTAGAACATCTCATTAATTTTCGCGATAATTACAAAATATGAATATTTTATATATATATATATATATATGAATAATTACGTCTCGACTCATAAATTATACATTTATAGATTACTTATTATAATCAGTCTCCATACGATATAGCAAAATAATCCATTATTTTTTTAAATTACTAAATAATAAACATTGTCAGTCAATGTACTGCACTGCACTGCACTGCACTGCACTGGTATTAGTAGATGCACCCCACCAACTTTCAATGGTCAACCTTCGTTAATTTTCTTTCTTTTTTCATCTGATTGACATTTAGATATCGGTTACAACTGCCAACGCCTTTCTCCGTCGATCCAAATAGTTCGTCGGCCAAGTGGAATCCCGATAGCGAATGCTTGGAATTGACGCTGAAACTCTGTAGGGAGCTCGACAATATTAATTTCTAAAAGCAGCATAAAGTAACGAGTGTCACCAAATTAAGCACATTTAATTGAAAACAAACTGGTTTTTAAACTATTCGCTCATTTTATTGTTTACGCTATATGTATATACATATATATATATATATATATATATATATATATATATCGTAAGTTTAATATCGATTTTTAAGACTCTGTTTTATATGGACCAATTTTCGCTGTGAGTTAATAAAATAGTTACAAGCTAATAACAATGTTATTTTACAATTAATTAATCTTCACCACACATATTATATCTTTATAGTAAAGAGGAAAAAAAATTAGTATTTATAGAAAAGGTAATAGTAATTTTTAGTTTTTCTTCTCTTAATGTTAATCAGTCGCAAGTATTGTTAATAAGAGAAATTAATTAAATGCTCAGAGAGTAGGATTACAATTACTTTCGGCCATTTACCCGTAAAAAGTATTTCTCCTTTGACAATTCAATATATTGGCATTATTCCTTGACAAGTGAGAAAAGCAAAATGTTTTCTAGGTTAACACAAGATTGCTTTGAAACAGGTAATAATCAAAGTACGGCAGATGTCGAGTGAGAGCCGTGACATATAAAGTTTTCGATCTTTCGATAAATTGCGTAAAGAACGGGGATGGTATCGACGCGAAGATGATTAAATTCGAAGTTATAACGAGCTTACGAGTATGATTATTGTAAAGTTTGACAAACACTTACAAGTTTGTCGCGGGTCGTACGCTTTGTTATCAATCTTCATCGGCGGCGTTTAAACATCTTGGATCGATCGCGCAGTCGCTGTACTTCGTCGTGGGCACGTGCTTGACACATGTTGTGCGCGATTGAGAGAGGAAGAGAGACAGAAATAGGCAACTTGAAAATGGCGCGGCCTTAACCAACTGAAACTGGAAGCCTCCATAGCTCAGGGGTTAGAGCACTGGTCTTGTAAACCAGGGGTCGAGAGTTCAAATCTCTCTGGGGGCAGTTTTAGTTTTTTTATCCCATGATCCCATGAAATCAAGATATGCGCGGCGATACCATTGACGATAATTATGGCGGCGCGGGGCGGCTACGGCGGCTACGGCGGCGGTGTATTGCATCTTTTAATGTGGTGGCAGCGATCGTAAAAACAAATGGAGTCTCTCCCGTCTGCATAATAAAACAGAAGCGTGTGTTTGGGCGGGGGCGGCTGTAGTAAGAGAGCGATCTGTGCTACTGCGGTGGGGGTGGTGTGGTGGTTATGGAGCGAGATAGAGCGGGCAGCGAGCAGCGAGCACACACACGCACACCGCTGCTGGCCTCTCTCATGAGGGGTAGGGGGATGATAGTTACAAAATGTTCTGTAACTTTACATGGTGGATGGGGTGGGGTTTGGTGGTACGCCTGGCATGTTGTTAGTGTGGGTGGTAGTGGTGTGCGGTGGTTGGTGGTGGCTGTATAATGTATGCGTCGTCGCGGGATTGTGGTGTGTTGTGTGTGTGTCTTGTCGTTCTCTCTCTTCTCTTATTTTACAAGCTTCTTCTTGCTACTTCTATCAATTGTGCGGGACGAAGAAAAATATCTTTGATGATATTTGACCTTTTAGCTACTATACCACCGCCACCACCACCACCATTTCTAGCTTTTCAAGTACCATTATCAACCAACATCTCATCTTCACCACGTCGTCAATTGGTGATGAATGGTGGCGGATGGGTGTGTGGGGGGTGTGGTGGAGGTTGTGTGCCGTAGCGAGAAGCGCGCCCGCGCACACACACACAATGGTGTCTTTTGTTTGGTGTTGTACTCTCTTTATTCTCTTATTCTCTTCTTTGATATATTTTTTCTTTTTGTTACCGCGGTTTCAGTGAAAGTACGTTGAAGTAGGAACGGCGGAGCCTAATTGGGGAAAAGTTTTAGAAACTATGATTCACGAAGGTCAATTTGTACACACGCCCTAACTAATTTTTTACTAATTAAACACTAGATTTATAATTAATATTGCCGAGTTTCTGCAATACGCGCGTTATCGCTTTGGTTACCATTAATAATTCTTTCTCTTTATCTTTACTTTAAATTCAATTTTCCCTTTAGTTTTCAGATTGTCTCCTACATTCTTCATGCCGAATAATGGAAAAAGTGTTGACACTATTTTTCGGCATTCGCCAATATTTTATTTTAACTCACAGCTTTTTGTTGCTTTTCAATTTTTAACGATAAAACAATTTATTGTTTCCGCTTCTTTCTCTTAATATTTACTTCTCAAAAGTCTTTAGAGTTTCGAATAATTAAATTTGTTTACGTGCATACTATTAATAACGTCAATGGCAGTATAAATTAACACCTGATATTTGAGATGTAATATAAATAAAGGATAGTTAGTACATAATTTGGAAAATTTTTCTCTAATAAATATTATAAATATTAATTAAGTATTGATATATTTTACGGAAAATAAAAATTACAAATTGCTTAAGAATTATTTTTCATCAATCATAAAAAAATATTCGATGAATATCTAGAAAATAATAGTTTCTTAATACATTAAGTTGAAATTTTTCTTATTATTTGTTTATTATTTATTATTTAAAAATACTTATCTATTGTAGTTGAGTATTATATTATAGTAGTTTACCCTAAAGTAGTATAGTAAAATTGCAATTAAATATATTTTGTCAATCATATTATGTATGTGTGTATGTGTGTATGTGTGTGTGTGTGTGTGTGCGCGCGCGCGCGCGCGCGTGTGTCTATTGTGAATATTAAATATTTGGATATTTTATATTTGATCTAGATTTTCTACAAATCTTTTAATTACTCCTCTTAAACTATTATTACTTGAATTATCAATGTCAATTCATCAAAGTGGTATTGAAACTATTTTATAAATAGAAATTATGACAAATGAAAAAATAATTATGTATACTTCGATAATATGATATTTCATAAAAAGTCATTACGTAGAATTATTTATATTTGCATTAAAATTCTAATTATTATTTACTGTATATCAAGAGTAGCTTTGGCATAATAATTTAATACACTAGGCAAGATATGACTATCATTTAACAATTAAGTATATATAAATTTTTGTTTTATTTTATTGCAATAAGAGATCGATGATAAATTAGTCGTTGTGTAAGTTAGCCTTTGAATTAAAATATTAGTTTCCAATTATCGCGAAGTTTATTTATAATAAATCTAAAAACTCGGTTCGTCACTTAATTTAACTACGGCTACTTCATGCTTTTTAAATATCTTTTAAAATGTCGAACCTATATAATTACAATATAATTAATCAATCATTCGTAACAAATAAAACATACATTATTTCAATCTTTTATTATAAATTATTGATGCGAAGTAGCGAATATAAATTCAACAATAAATTAATGGCTACAATAAATCAATAATATTATATAGCAAAACTCATCTCGCCTTACTAATTATCACTACGGGAAAATTAATAATACGCACAGCTATCGCTACGAGGTAAAAAGATAATTTTTTTTTACAAAGTTTATATCCTGTTTTCCTAGTAATTTACAGCTATTACATTCATAACAACATAACGCTATGGCTATTCGAAATAGCGTAATGAAGCGCGTCGTGCCACTCAATTCAATGACAGTATCTTTCGAAATCTTTAACGATGATAGAATTATTAGCGAAATACCAACAACGAGGCAAGGCATTAATAAATAGCGATAACAAACGGTGCAGATGTACGAGCGCGCATATCCCGACTGTGCGCTCGAGATAATGAGACTGTAATTATGTCTATTTATCTCTCTCTCTCTCTCTCTCTCTCTCTCTCTCGCTAGCATGACAACGACATCAACAAACTTGTTATCGTACCTGGCGAAGTTTCCTTGTATTTTACCGCATCGAGAAGTGGATACAATAACTTCATCAGTATTTATGATCAATCATTGCGTCCTGCTTTAGGCAATACTCTTTGCTGTTGATCTTTTGGTAATGTGTCTTTGTCGTGATGACCTTCGTGCTCCGATTATGCCTTAGAAATGTAGTGATTCACAGTCTTGGTTTCCCATTGATTAGAATTAATTTTTAAAAACGAGGACGAATAATCGGCGATATTAAAGTGTAATTTTAATATGCCGGGCGTAGCTATAAACATGCGAATGTAAGCAAAAAAATCAAGACAAGTTTTATTTCGCAAAAATATGAATGTGATTGATCATTGAATTTACAAATGTTTACGATTTTGCATTAATCTCAATTTAAAAACAAATTTAGTTTAATATTTATCAATGATTTTTTATATTACACCTTTTAAATAATTAAAAAGCTGTATTAATATTATTAAGTATACACGCAGAGAAAGAGAGAGAGAGACAGAGAGAGAGAGAGAGAGAGAGAGAGAGAATGTGTATGTTATACGTGCAATTTCTATTCAAAAGACAAACATTTGTAAAATTAATGGCGTGCATAAACATAAACATATTTTAAAAGAAATAATTATCAAAATTTACCAAAAAATTAAACAAATTTTTACTTATACTTATAATTCATTAGAAGTATTTTGTTTTTCTTGTGTTAATCAATAGTAACAAAAGCATGATTATTTGATAACTTTTTCAAAATTCTTAAAATAATCAATATTTAATAAGACTTTGTTATATATTAAATGAAATTCTCAATATATTATATTAAACATATAAAATGAGTGATAAGTTTTGAAAGAAATACGTCGACGGGATAAAGTATCTCGCTTCCGAAGATAAAAGTTTCAAACTAATATCATTGTGAAAAGCATATATTTTTTTAAATATTTAGAGATAATTCTCACTTTTTAAGTGCCAGAAAGTTGAAGATAGTGGGTTTAAAAATTATTAGATAACATAAACATTATCCATATATAAGTGTCGAGTTCTGTCAGACAGTGTCTGACTAGACCCGGCATGCATCTACGTGTTCTTATATAAATTACCGCCTCTATCTCATGAAGAACTCTAAATCGTTCTTTCCTCAACATTCCGTACTTTTAAAAGGTTAATTTTTCTATTTTCATTTGTTTTTGTTTTTGTTTTTGTTTTTTTTTTTTTTTTTTTTTTT